AGGAGGAGGAGGAAGGAATGAGGAGGAGGAGGAGGAAGAGGAGGAGGAGGAGGAGGAGGAGGAGGGAAGGAAGGAAGGAGGAGGAGGAGAAAGGAAGGAAGGGAAGAGGAGGAGGAGGAAGGAAGGGAGGAGGAGGAGGAGGAAGGAAGGGAGGAGGAAGAGGAGGAAGTAGGAGGAAGGGAGGAGGAGGAAGTAGGAGGAAGGGAGGAGGAGAAAGGGAGGAGGAGGAGAAAGGGAGGAGGAGGAAGGAAGGAGGAGGAGGAGGAGGAGGAGGAGGAAGGAAGGAAGAAGGAGGAGGAGGAGGAGGAGGAGGAAGGAAGAGGGTGAGGAGGAGGGTAAGGAGAAAAAAGGAGGAGTAAGAAGAAGGAAGAGGAGGAGGAAGATATTATTGCTACCAATATACAGTGGAAACCTGATATAACAGGGATGGTGGGAGTAGAGAAAATGTCCTGTTATATCCGATCCCTGTTAAATCAGAAATGCAAGGAAAGTAAGCATTTGTGGACTAATCCAGCAGTACTTATTCATGGGTAGTTTCCTTTGCCGCAAGTACTCACGAACAGGGGTTTTGGCACAAACTTTCTCCTTGCCTCCTTCAACCAATTCAGAAGAGCTTGGTGCACAGCATCTGCATCGGGTAGTCTCATCTTCTTTCGATCCAGAGCAAACTTTCCATAGGAGTATGCTGCCACTATCTTCTCTCTATCCTTGATTTATAATGGTGTGAATCGACCCTTGTGGAATGTTGAACTGACGACAAAATCTCTGCCAGTGGAGCTTGCTTTTCGTTAACAGCCTGGATTATTTCTTATTTTTTGTCAATTGAAAGGCATTTTCTCTTGCGCTTGACATCGTTGATGACACATTACACGTGCGTGTTGCTAGGTTTTGGGCTAGATCGAGGTCTGCAGTACACCGCAGCCCTCTCTCGCTTCAAACGCTGTGTGTGCTCGCAGTAGTGGTATGGTTTGAGTGGGCTTGCTCCATCACTGCGTTACTCTCTCTCTCTCTCTCTCTCTCTCAAAATTTTTACACATTGTTAACGAGCCTTTGTCCCTGCTATAACCGGTTGGGCTCCGATGAGGCCCTGTTATTGCCGTTACTTTTAATAGAGACAAAGAGTAGGAAAAAACGGGGATTTTAAACATCCCTGTTATTACCGGATCTCTGTTATTACCGGGCCTGTTATATATGGTTTCCACTGTACTGTCAGCTGCTGCCATTTCAGTGCTACGGAGTGCAAAAACAGTGCAAAAACAGCTATCACAAAAATTTGAACATTTAATAGAAGTAGAAGAAGAACACAGCAATGGGTATATTAATTACATTTGAAGGAGAAGAACAATGAGGTTCGAAGGGTAAGGGAGAGCAGCTACAGCAACAACAACAAAAACAACAACTACAACAACAACAAAAACAAAAGTAGCAGCAGCAGCAGCAGAAGGCCTTTAGAATTTATGACAGTGTCTGACACGGTACTATTGGCACTGGGTGGCCTTTCAAATGCCTGGAAACAAGTAATACTAAGAAAGAAATCGAAGCAGAAAGCCACACGAAAGCTCTGCTACCAGAGAAATGGTTGAGTGAAGTTGGTTTCATAATAATATATTATTATTATACAAAAAGACTTTGTAAGTATCAAAGAATGCACCAACTTTCTTCAAGGTGCGTGGCTTGACAACTACTACATTATTGAGTTTTCTCGACAATAGAAGAGCATGTCTAGCTCACTCTGTGTCCTATGGCTACAACAAGGCAATAAGACAAAAGTTACCATTGTTTTGAAAGACTCAACAATAATCGAATTTGACTTGATCGCTTTCAAAACTTCTTACTGAGGCAAAGTTTCATGGTAATTGTGGTAGCATCGTGGTACGACGGCCTTCAACTCCAGTAAATGTTTATACTGGTTGGCAGTTATCTTCAATCTGTCTTTGCAGAGAGGTCAAGCAGTAACCGTCGTACATTGGGTGTTCAGCTTTCTTGGTCCTTGCAGCGCCTGCCATCCATCATCGAAGTTCAGTTTGTACTGAATTTTATAATATGGAGTGTACTTTGGTGCCTGCAAGTCAGTGACAGTAGGATGGCCTGCTTTTATCCCTGGACGAATTGTTTAGTGCTCTCCGACCTTTGCACAATCTTTGAAAAAGCTGTGGCCCAGGTACACAACTTCATAGGGCCTGGGGATGCGTCTGGCTTGGAGCATGATGTTCACGTAGTCCATTGGGATGTACATCAGTGCGTTTTTTAGCGATCGCTCAATAGTGCCATGGACTGAATCCACCTCCATTTGGGTATGGTCCTTGGTGAGAATTTCTGCTCAACTGTGATGTTAAGCTCTTAGGCCAGCGAGGCCATTGTACTCACCAGGGTGGCAGTTCTATTTTAGTAGTTGCACCAATCACTGCAGACAATGAATAGGTTGAAGCCAGTCACTTGCAATATCAGTTAGTGAGTCAGACATGATGAAAACTGTTGAAGCTCAGACCAGCTTCACTTTCATCCCAGACATATCATCTGGCGTCTCTGGTGGCAAGATCCTAAATGGTAAAATTGTGTACAGCCAGTTCTGTCTTATAATATAAGGTGGATGTCTTCACTGGATCTCCATACAAAAGACACACATTTTGTTCTCTAGGTTCAGTGCAGCCTCCCTGTCCTTCTCCTTCTCTGGTCTAGCTGCAGCTTTCCTCATATTCATATTCTTGGTTGAAAGTAAACCCAAATTGTTTTTCTTGAACTTTTGGCAGAACACTTGATAGCTCAATGTGGCTTTCACCCTCTCTGCAAAGTTCTCCAGGTATACTTGATGCAGATCTGGCATTTTCTGAATTGTCATCTGTAGACAGGAGGATATCTTCGAAAGTTTGTCAGAAAAATCCTCTTTATGAAACAACTTGTCATCCTTGGCTCTCTCATGGTAGGTGTGCTGTCAGTTCGATTTCTGTATGAGGAGAAATTTTTTACTGAGAACCTCCATCTTTCTGCTGGGGCGTTGTTCCCTCTCAGCCCAGGTTGGCCCTGACGTTGGGTTGAAGTATGCCTGGCCCCTCCCCTAAATGTTCTGTATTATGTCACTGTGAGTGTAACACATCTACAAAATAGGTTACATACATACGATACAAAAGCCAATCACAACGACCCCTGGAGTTTTCCATTCTAGGGTAATCTAAATCTACTTATTCTTATTACTACCAGAAACCTAGGTCTCTGTTTCTACAATACCAC